TACTAAGATCACATAATTGTAGCACTGACCATAACGAACATTAAAAATGCATTCACATATTTAATGTAATTTTACATAATCATTATTTCAGAGAAAATTATGACTCATCTTTCTGGCATGTAAACAACAGTATGCATTTCGAAAAAAACACAGGCTTTTGGTTTAACAGATTAAAATAAGATAATGTCAGAAGCCTCTACGCTTTTAACCGTGTCTTAACTGAATAGAAAACTATCTACTTTATCTGATTTCTTCACATTTCAGTTCAATTCAGCTAAATTTACTGAAGCGTCCCATTGGGAAAATCGAAAGATGTACTTCTTGTATTTCTTAGACAAGACAGTATAACTATACAAGCAGTTAAAGATAAACATTAATTGCAAAATAATCAAAAAACAAATTAAATAACCAATCTTCTACATATTCACACGTCGTTCTCGTCAACGATGAAAGTGACTGTGAACGGAAGGACTGGTCTTCGGAACGCTACTGAATATTGCCTTATGGCAACAGTTACCACTATGGATTATATTCACGTTTGATTTCTTAGCGTCAAGTTTATACTTTACCGTCTGCTATGAATGGATCTTTGCTGGTGCTGCCATGCGCATGAACGGAGTAGAGATGTGCACCAGTACAGTCGAAACCGGCAATGATCAGATATGCACCGACATAACCCATGTACCTGCGACAAAAAATAGCAGCATAACATCAGCCGGAAACTAGAGTAAAAGTTTCGTTATCTGGCACTTGTTAAACTTTACAGCTACTGCTTAACTGCGCCCTATTATTCAGTACAAGTGAAAAACATGCCAATTTAACGGCAGTAATGAAACTTAAACCTTTGACAGTAAGCAAGTATCATAGGTATTTTTGACTATATACAAACCTACGGCTCAGAGATATTTTAGTCAATGTTCGAATATGTCATTGTTTTGTCTAAAAAAGGGATGCCGTTTAGCATTAATGTAGTGCAACCACTACACTAACACGGCATCATGGCGTGCTAACAGGTCCAATACGCTTCTGTAAACATGGTAACAGCATGATAGCGTGGTGCAAAATTGACATGCATAGGATATTAAATATTAACGTCATATATCATACGCTATCGGCGGGAGAAAAAGCCAACTTCGGCAAATAAACCTCGATTACATTTTGGTTATATTCCCAAGATCCTTACTACACAGCAAAAAATAGCACTCAAGCACAAAGGTACTGGCTACGGAAACGTGCAAGAATTTTAGAGAACGATAAATAAATTCACACTATTGTCATTCATACACCAGATAACTAACACAAGATCTCGCGTATTTCTAGCCTCACTGTACTTTCCGTGCTCTAATAAACTTATAAGAACATATAAACTTTCTGAACTTATAAAGTTTTTCGCTTTGGACTCAACAGCAACTTCAATATAGTGTGCGCGATCAAACTGGTCGTTCAAGAATCAATAAAAGACAACTACAGTCGACAGTAAACGATCGGTTCTTCTGAATACGAACATCATTTACTGGAGCGATTAACGATACTGCAAGGTCTCCGAAACGTCGTTACTAGAACGTGTTACATGGGAGAGTTCCGAAGAAAGGTTTCTACAATATTTAGGATCATCTAAAACAGAAGAGTGTATTTTTATGCATGATCTACAACAAACTCCGCCGTTCCCAGCCTCAATCCCCGTTGAGAAAAGAGGAGGGTTGGAGACAGTGACGAACCCTCCGTAAAAATTAGCCACCCGCCACTCATGGTATTGATGAGATCGAAAACTATACCGACTCTGTCGTCGCCCCGGCTATCAAGGGCCGTCGTTGGGAGATTGAGACAGACTACAAAAAGTCATCGATCAGAACCTGATCATCGGCTTCTGCCAGCGGGCGAGTAGCAGCACAACAACGGCAGATGAAAACCGACGGAACTACGACGAAGATACCAGTCAGTGCCTGAGACGCTACCCGTTCTGAACGAAGGAGGCAGACAGCGCGATGCCATGATAGCACATTAGAAAAGGCTCCAAGAGAACGAGAACGACACCGCCAGTGGGAGCTTACAGTCGAAA